GAATCCTCCTTAACAGCTCCTACTCATCTCTCCGGTTTTTGGGTGATGCTGGTAACTTTGTTTTGACATGACCTCTGCTTTCAATAGTACTGTGATCCAGTAGTTTCAGTAGGGAATGGATTCACGTGACTTGGATTTTATTTATATATATATATATAAAATAATACAGTAGTGCAAAGTATGTAGAGACATTAAAAATATCTTAATGGAATGTAGTGGGCATACCAACATTGTTTTCACAGCAAGCCTTTAGAATAAGAGTGACTCATCCAGGAGTTACAGATTGTTGGTGATATCTCACGTGAAGCATGACTTTACAAATCATTCTTTCTGTACTCTGTAGTAGCATGATTGAAGGAAATCATGGGATTAACAGAAATGGCTGCCTCTTTCAGAAACCCCATTGTTCACACTAATCCATGGTCTTGTTGGAATCAGAAGCATCTTTTTAGAGTCCTGCACACAAGATGAAAATGACATAAATGTTAATGTGCTGTCATTTATTAACATAGCTTGCTAAACTAACCAGTGCATTTGCAGGTCTACACTACAGGGCTAAGTCAACCTAAGTTACACAACTTACAATAACGTAGCTGGAGTCGATGTACCTTAGGTCGAATTATTGTGGTGTCTATACGTGCTGGGCCGACGGGAGAAACTCTCTCCCATCAACTTACCTTATGCTTCTCGTTCCGGTGGAGGACCGGTGACGATGGGAGAGTGATTAGCGGTCGATTTAGCGGGTCTTCCCTAGACCCAAGTGTCGATGCCCCGGTAAGTGGGGACAAGCCCTAATAGTTGTTTGTGGCCAATGAAGCAGAATTTTGCCTTAAAATTTAATTTTAAATGAAGCTTCTTAAACATTTTAAAAACTTTATTTACTTTACATACAATAGTTTAGTTATATATTATAGACTTATAGAAAGAGACCTTCTAAAAATGTTAAAATGTATGACTGGCACGCGAAACTTTAAATTAGAATGAATAAATGAGGATTCGGCACAATACTTCTGAAAGGTTGCCGACCCCTGTTTTAGCCAGTCCTTCAGCCACCCACTGGCTAGGTTGTCAGTGGCACTGGGGACCCGATCGGCATAGCGCACCGCAGCCCAGAATCCCTGAGTGATCTGCCAGCCTCAGCCTCCCAAATAGCTGGGATTACAGGAACGCGCCACTGTGCCCAGTATGGTAGATAGTGCTGCTAGTAAAACCCTATAAAATATAGCTCAGAACATCTAGGTTCGTTTCAGGTTTAAAAAGGACACTGCAAAGCTATTTTTCCACATCTCACTTGGCAGTGTCCTGCTCTGCTTCCTGAAAATGCTAAGGAATCTTCAGTGAATTTCCTTTTGGGGGCTGAGTGGTAATTGGCAAGAATGGAAGGATGTGATGTGATGGTTTGTAATTCTTTCCTTCGCTCGGAGGGCAGAATCTACCAGGAATGTTGCACACTTCCTGTGATTAGAGGTCTCAGCGAGACTTGTGCATTACAGCATTTCCTGTGCTTTAAAGTTCTGTCTAGGGTCCAGCCCATACTGAGCCAAGGCTTTTGAAGGTAGAACCCTGCCTAGCCTGGAACCAAAGTATTGAACACTATTCTAATGTCAGCTAGAAACCTGGTTTAGCTTTCAATTCCATTCACAAGGCACCATAGGTAAATCTGGAAAAGATCCTCAACTGTGGCTCGTAATGGCCATTAAAATGATTTCTCTTCCTGTTTCACCCATTTTCTTTCCTGCTGTTTTTCTCATAATATTTTCTGTTTCCATCTCTGGAGATAGAACTTATATTGACACTTAATCATGGTACAAACACTTGCACCATTTCTAGGCTAAGATAAAAGGTGTGATGCTAGAATATCTTAGGTAACATGTTCTAACTAATAGCTTGTCTACATTAGATGTTTCAAACATATCTGGCTGAATGAAAGCTCAGATGGGAGTATAGGCTTTAACTTGACCAGCCTAGCACAGGTTAATGTATATGCTACTTTGTCTACACTAGACTTTTCGAACATGTTAGCACCTTTACATCATAGGCCTGGTCTACACTACTGCCTAAGTCAATGTAAGTTATGTCACTCAGAGGTGTGAGTCCGTCCCTCCCCCTCCCCCCCGCAACGTAACTTACATCAACTTAGCATGGTGTAGACACTGCTTTATGTCCTCAGGAGACACTCTCCTGGTCACGTAGCTTTCACCTCTCGTTTACATGCAGTAATTACGTTGACGGGAGAGCGTTCTCCTGTCGATGTAATGCGTCTTCACCAGACATGCTAAATCAATGCAGC